TTGGGGTCTGCGTCGGACCCGCATTTTACTGTGATCAGTGTCGCGCCCGCCCTGGTTGACCGCGTAGATAATTAGCGTCCCTAATTACTTCGCGCCGTCTCTGCCTCTTGTCAAAGTGGTTCGTAAAACCGAATACGGGCAAAAAAATTAATTTGGCAAACGACATCCGGGCTTCTCTGCATCAGCCCTGAGGTAAATTAGGGTCATGTACATAGAACTATGTGCGTGAATTTCCAGTGCCTGGGGACGGGCAGACGAATTCACTACTCGGGACGCCGGACCCGCGTCTGGCCTGCCCCGAAGGAAGCCTCCTTATGATAAGCCACCTAGTAATTGCATTTCTCCTACTATTGACATTATTGATTAGTTCAATAACAAGAGCATTACCCATGTTTTACCACAGTTCTTTTTTTACAGGAACTGCCGATAACCAGTGGAAGCCCTTTAATGTCCATTGGAGAACTGCATCCCCGCCTGTATTTTTCGTACCGATTTCTCATTTGTAAATACTCAATAAACCGTCGTTTCTAACCATTGTCTGTCCACTTTCCTATGTCGTGGGATAGAGTGAACGCTAACTAGGTTGTCCGGTTGTGCACTTACGCGGGGTGTTTGCCGCTGATTTTCTTTAGCCGACGCTGACATGTAATCGTGCTGCGATAGCCGACCGTTTAGAATGAGTGCACTCGCGAGTAAAAAACGGAAGTCATTAAAGGGCGGGGAACGAATGCAGATGGGAAGATCCTATCGGTTTTCCGGTTGTGCACTTACGCGGGGTGTTGACCATTAATGGTCAATCAATTGATTTGCTTTAGCCGAGGCTAGGAGGATCCGGTGACACATGTAATCTTACAGCGACAGCCGCCAGTCTAAAATGAGTGCACTCGCGAGTAAAAACGGAGGCCATAAAAGGGTGGGGGACGAATGGAGAATGGGGGGCGCCGCCACGCATTTTTTCGGATGGTGTGGCCAGACCTGGCTGTGTTGTCGAAGGCCACACCTTAGCCACGCCAAATGACCACGTTTGGCCGCGTCGTAGCCACGTCTTGCCGCGGCGGCAAGGCGTGGCCAGCCGCGGCTGGTGCTGACAGGGTATCTATAGGCTCTAGTCAAAGGGAAAGTGTTGCCGTCTACCACAAAATCACAAGAAGAGGAAATTTAACTCTTAATTTCTTTTCCAGCCTCTCTTATTTTAAAACAAATTGTTGTCGATTTAAACAAAAACAGTCCTGTCGGATGCAACAGACCTCCCTACTCAGGCAGAGTCCTGGCCAAAAGTCCTTTCGGATGTATGGCCTCCATTATCTCTTCTCTAGTTGTTACAGAAGCTAAACGCCGAGGAAATACGGATGTTGTCTCAGAAATGGCAGTTAGTAGACGTCCTCGGTGTGTTTTTAACTTGTCAACATGTGTGGTGAACATCAAGCGATTTGGTAGTTTGGCATCGCATGGGACGCATGGGGTGAGATGGATGATATCTTCGATCACATATGGTCCTACACAATGATGGGAGAAATTTTACTGTGTCTAAATTAATATGTCGGTCCCCGGTTGATAGGGTATGTCGTGAAATTATCAATCGAAGTATGCTCCTCGTTGTTCAACGGCTGATCCTAAATGGGCGCGCTTCAGGTTACCATCTAATTGTCGCAGATACCATAATTACTATACGCAGTCAGTCAGTCAGTCAGTCAGTGAATTTGAGGGAAATAGGCTTACGCCTCTGAACTCCCTATTTGTACATAAAAAATCGATAAATTAGCAGAATGTGAAGAAATTACAGCAGTAAGGGTATGCAGTCATTGATTCACATATGACACTGGTCTCATGGCTAAAAAGTCACATAGTCCGCTTGGTGCTGTAGCATATGTCTGTCAAGTCTACATTTACATGTCGCCACAGATTGAGACGCGACAACCGTCTGGGGCAGATTATTCCACGGTTCCACGACACGGTTGGAGAAGAAATATTTTCTCACATTCAGTCTACCCTGGGGCACACGTAACTTGAAGGGATGTCCCCGGAGGTTAGTTGTTGTGGTGAGTTGGAAAAATTCATCGTACCGAAGGGCGCAGTTCAAGCCACGCACGATACGGAAAGCTTGTATCAAGTCTCCGCGCAACTGCCTATAACTCAGAGGATAGAGATTAAGGTTACTTAAGCGGATCTCGTGTGGCAGTGCACTTTGACCTCTTACTAATTTTGTGGCTCGCCTTTGCACCCTTTCGAGCAGATTGTAATCCTGATGTGTCCATGGTCTCCAGGTCTGAATTGCATATTCGAGTTGCGGCCTTACAAACGTGCCGAAGAATTTGGAGAAACAGTCTTCATCGAAAACTGCGAATGCCCGCTTGATAGCATATAGCATTGAAGTTGCGGCCTTGGCCGCCTTACAACACTGCGTAGAAGGCTTAAGGCTGTCTGCAACCCAGACTCCGAGATCTTTCTGCGTTTCTGCTTCTCGAAGTGGTATTCCGTTCAGATGGTATTGCCGCGTACTAGGGGTCTGATTTCCGAGGCGCAGTATGGTACACTTGGTCAAATTGAAGGACAAGAGCCATCTACGGGACCACACGTCCAATCGACAAAGATTTTCTTGGAAGTTGGTCTCATCGGTAGCATTCTGGATAACTTTCCAGATTTTTATGTCATCCGCAAACATGGCATTATCACAGTCCAAACCATCTACACAATCATTGATGAACAGTCATCTGATGAATGCTTACCCGGTTTTGGTAAGAGAGCCTATGAGTCTGCCGGAAGGTCAAAAGGGTATCCGGTTAACCTCTTACCTTTGCAGATGGTGTTCGGTTGCGAACGTCTTCAAAAGTTGGCTCAAGTTACAGTTAGTTCTTTCAACTTGCCCATTTCCATCCGGGTGTACAGTGGTCGTATGTGCGTTCAACAAGAGAGGGAGGTCACATACACCAATGTGAGCTAACTTCCATAAGCAGGCCGAAGATGAAATAATACTAAATGAGTAGGGATCCGCCGCCCGGTATATGTGTCACTC